TGAACCGCACGGAGGGGACATTTGAAAAGCGTCGTCTCTCACATCGGCCCAGCATGGGAATCTGTGAACAGAGATTCTCAGACCGCGGAGCTCAGTGTGGGAAACCCGACCAATGCCTGCGCGGTCCGGCCATAACTCACCACCTGACAGTCGTCTGATGAACGTTCACCACTGCGGCCTTTCCTAAGCCCTGCCATGTTTCAGAGCATTGATTATTAACCTTTTTTTTGTTTGTTTTCAGAGACCCCTTTGAAAATCCAAACATCCTTTTCTCCAGAAAAACACACATATAATAAAAAACCTTGTCGTGTGATTTCCAAGTTTGCAAATCCCCATGAATTCCACTCATAGACTCCACTGAAAAATTCTCAAAAAGGGGATTTCGGTTTTCTTCTCTGAAATTTTAAGTTATGGAGAAAATAATAACTTTGAAAGTGGCAAAGACTGTGGTATTATATCGGATAAAAGATTATTCACACATGGTGCCATTTAAGCAGAAGGGACAGAAAAGCTGACAAAAAGCAAACTCTGAAAATACGTTATTACTAATAGCTATGAGACTCCTACCACCACACCCCTACGAAAAAATTCAAGATAGCTCAGAATAGTCATCCTAATAAAATTTTAAACACATGAAATCGCCAATTCCAAAGTTTTACTTTTAGCTAGGCTGAAGTCTTGTATTATAACACCTGCTGCAATAACACATATTTGCCCTTTGTAATCCTTCAAATTAGAAGTCTGTTCAACTCTTCATCTTTATAAATCTATAAACTCCCAGCTGAGGGAGTTAGTTATACACTGTGTTATAATTTTCTTTCCACTCTGAGCCTTTCCTCCTAGTTACTTCACTATTAGCTTGTACAGCATTTTGAAAAAAGTAGATTATGACACCATAGGTTAGTAATCTTTAAATCACGATAGGCCACAGTAAAGAAATACACACTCTGAAACTTTTGAAATTATTCATTTAAAAAATATAAGAGAAATAATGTATGTACAGACTTTGAAAAGCTTATTTAAAACTTTGCATTCCGTAAGAGGGTGGAAAACAAAGGTGTTCTAAAACTTACGTTTTGCTTCTGATAGATTCTGATTAGGTGACCAGACCAGCATGCCGAGATTGTCTCGTTCTTGACTGCGTCTTGCTAATTTGGCTTGGTGGAAATAAAAAAGGAAATTCTTATTATAATTTAACAGACATAAGAAGCAACTATTACCAGCACTCCTGTGGTCCTTTCACCTCAGAACACGGTGACATCCCCTACCCCCTGCTGAAATCTGCCCATCGGATCCCGCACAGTCACCGCCACAGGGTGAGCGGGGTGGAGGAGGCTCTGAAGTTTACCAAACAGTCCTACTTCTAAGTCTTCTCCTTCTTTACTACTACTATTTAACAAACAGGTATGTATGCTGCAGGTGTAATTATTGTTCTCGTCTGTGCGGTCGCTCGGCTAGGAGGAGGCAGCCAGGGCTGAACTCAGACAGAACGGCTCCGGTGCCCAAGTGTTTACGCATATACACTATGATGCTCTGCTTTCGGACAAGGGACAGCGAAAAGGGAAGCCACGGTAGCAAGCTGCTCAAAGATTCTGTTAAAATATAAATCCTTCGTGTGTACTTTGAATACCCTTACCCTTCTCTGCCAGAGGAACTTTTTAGTGACTAACAGGAATCCAAAGATTCTTTTGACTTTATTAAAGAATAACCACTAAAAAGATTTAATCTGAAAGGAAGCTTCTGAAGTGCATTCAAATTCTTAAAAATCTGCAATACGAAATGGTAGGCCGAAAGGTTTGCAAGCGCAAACCTCATAAAAGAGAATGAAATCTTGCCATTTGCAACAACATGGATGGACCTAGAGGGTATAACGCCAAATAAACCCAGACCTACCTGGAAGTAGGATTACAAGGAAACGGAAGTTATCAACTCCCATCAAAAGGAAGAAGAAACGGTATTCACACCACTAGTGGGAATGTACATTTACAACTACTTTAGAAAGTTGGCAAGGTGGGGTAAAGGCGAAGTGTGGATACCCTACAACCCAGCGATCCATTTCTAAGTGTAAGATATATATACAACGGCAATGGTTTCCCAACACAGGCCAGATCTACTGAAATTAATTTACTGGGTTCTAACTAGCATTAAAAAAAAAAAAAGAATTTTAAAAACACCAGTACATTGTTTAATTAAGTATGTGTATGAACTACTGGTGGAGATTTTTAAGTCTGATGCTACTTGGTTTTATGTGTCAACTTGGGTAGTTTACAGTAACCAGCCGTTGACTCAAACACTAATCTAGGTGTTGCTGGGAAGTACTTCGTAGTTGTGGCTGGCACCTACAGTCAGCTGTAGTCAGTCAGTCTACGACATGGGGGGACGCGTCTAATCACCTGAAGGCTGTAAGAGCAAAACTTGCAGTTTCCCAGAAGAAACTGTGCCTCAGGACAGGCCACAGTCACACAAGCCAGTCCCTTCTGAATGTCTGAACACGCGCACACGCACCCCCGTTGGTTCCGCTTCTCTGGAGAACCCTGACTCACATGGATTGCTACCACAACACTGCTCACGGTACTGAAATACAGGAAAATCTTAAAAGTCCGTCAACAGAAACTAGTTAAACTGCAGTATGTGCATACAAAAGAATTAAATACAGGAAATAAAATTCATCAGATCTACAGATAGCAACAAGTAAGGTAAAGAAAATGTATGATACCATAATGTAAATAATAAAAATATAAGAACGTTACATGTTATCGGGAGTACATACATTTGAAGTATAAAATGTGCACAATAAAGATATTTTTAAAATCCAGTAATGGCCACTCTGAAAGGAGGCTACCTTGCTTTTGGCTGTTACCCGTAATTCTTCATTGCTTTCTGTAAATCTGGGTAGGAGGTAAGCAAATACTATTGTCTATAGTTTTTATGTTTGTAGAAATTCAAAACATTTTTTAAAAGAATTAAAAAGAAAAAAAGAATTAAGGAAGCCTTCACTGTATGATCTGATGTCACCTAATACAGTATCTGTGTCCAAATTTAAAATAATCTTGTCTCATGCTAAGGAAAACACTCAAGTATATTTTCTCATTCTATATAATGCAAATTTCATTTGTCAACTGCTTGGGACCAGAGCAACAATTCACACTTACAGTTTACAATCCCACCCTCAGTAGATGAGGGTTCTAATTTTCCAATATCTTCTCCAACACTTGGTATTACCTGACTTTTCGATTCTAGCCAATGGATGTGAAGCTGTGTCTCACTGTGGTTTTGATTTTTCATTTCTCTTATGACTAATGACGTTGAGCATATTTAGTACACTTATTGGCCATTTGGATATGTTCCCTGGAGAAATGTCTATTCAGATCCTCTGCCCACTTGAGAACTGGATTATTTGACTAGACAGAGAATGTAAAATGGTATAGCCGCTTCGGAAAACAGTCTAAAGTTCTTTAAAAGGTTAAATATAGTTACTGTGTAACCCAGCAACTCCGTTCCTAGGCATGCAGCCCAGAGAAATGAAAACCCATGTCCACATAAAAACTTGTACATAAATGTTTGCAGCAGCATTATTCATAACAGCCAAAGGGTGAAAACAAGTCAAATGTCCATCAACTGATGAATGAATATATAGTATAGCCATGTGGTGGAATATTATACTGCTAGAAAAGGAGATTTAGTACTATCTAGCATGGATGAAACCTAAAAACATCATGCTAAGTGAAAGCAGCCCGTCACAGAAACAAAAACTGTGTTATTCCATTGACATGAAATGTCCAGAATAGGCAATGCTGTAGACACAGAAAGTAGGTTAGTGGTTGCCAGAAGGTGTGGGGTGCTTGGGGAAAATGGGGGGGTGACTGCTAATGGGTACTGGCTTTTTTTACGGGATGTTGAGAATTGTCTAAAATTGACCACAGTGAAGTTTGCACAACTGTGAATATGTTAAAAACCAAAGAATTACATATTTTAAACAGGTGAACTGTACATTTCATGAATCACATCTCAACGAAGCTGTTATAAAAAACAAGTGAGAATACTTGTTTTGTTTTTAGCATATGTATTTTTTTATGAATAGATGAATGAAAAAGCAAGCATATCAAACTGTATGCAGATAAGAAAAACCACCTGGTTGTGATTTTGCTCCATAGAGTTCCTTATTGTTTGGATTTTTCATCCTAAGAATGCACTCAAATAGTACTTATTTCTCTTTTAAAAAAAAATATTAAGGAAATGAATTTGAAGAACTCTGAGCTCTGAGAGTGACATCCACTATAATAGCAGTAAAGAAAGTAAAATCACACTTAAGTTTCAGTAAATTTGATCTCATTCTCACAATTTTATAGTTATTATAGTGAGGCACATTACCACAGATCCAGTGCCTAAAAACACTTGGGCACCAAACAAGCAGCCTTAAAACCCTGTAACTATAAAGCAAGACTGTCTCCTTTTTACTGTCCTTGGCCTAGCAGAAGGAAAAAAAGAGCTAACTTTCCTGGAGGATTAGACTCTCAGATCAGCCAACATGGGCTCACATTCAAAGATGACAAATACTCAAGCACACACTGTCGGTAAGAGTTTACTGATACCAGACTCAGGATAGTGTAATTAACAAATACAGAATTATAAATAAATATTAAATGTTTAAAGAAATACAAATTGGAATCACAAAAATGAGTAAGTAACGAAACAGCATCAAAAATTACCAGAAAGGTTTGAAAAAGAACCACCTGGTACTTTAAATACACATGCGTGCGCGCGCACGCACACATACACACACATAAAATCGTTCAAACAAAAACTTAAATTAAGCAGCAGGTTAGCTTGCAGTTGAAAAGCTGCAACTCTAAAACATTATTCACAACAGAGAGATAAGATAAAAAAAATACAAAAGACAGGTTAAGAGATATGGAGGATGGAAAAAGTAAGATAAACATATGTCTAATCAGGGTCTCAGAAAAAGAGTGTAGATTTGAGGAGGCAATATTTGATGCAATACAACCTAAAAATTTTGCAGATAAAATGAAATACATGAATCCACAGAGGAAATATGTCCACTGAGGACATGAATAAAAAGAAAACCATACCTGGGTCCACTACAGTAAGACTGGAGAATGCCTGAGACAAAAAGAGATAGCTTACTAACAGCCTGAGACAATTTCTTACAAAGTTGGGCTTAAAACTACCTTATTAGCTAGCAATTCAACTCCTACATATTAACTCAAGAAAAATGAAATGTTTATCCACAAAAAAATGTTAATAGCAGCCTTATGTACGATAGCTAAAAACTAGAAATGATCCCAGTGTCCATCAATAGAAGAATGAGACTAGATAAACAAGCAGAGGCATACTCATACAAAGGAATGCCACACAGAAATAAAAAGGAACGAATTGCTGATACAAGCATCAACATGGATTAACCGCAAAAAAAAAAAAGAAAGAAAAAGAGAGAGAGAGAGAGAGAGAGACAGAGACAGAGACGAGACAGAGACAGACCCCAGACGCTAAAGACTACATACTGCACAATTCTATTAATGTGAAATCCGAGAACAGTAAAACCCGCTGTGTGGATGGGAGAGAAGGGGTGGTCCCTGGAAAGGGGAATGAGAGAACCATTTGGGGTGACGGAAATGCTCCTGGCCTCGTTTGAGGTAGCAGATGCACAGGTATGTACAACTGTCAAACTTCACTTACCACTTAAGATCTGTGCATTTTATTACAAATAAATGACAGATGGAGAGTAAAATTCCCAATAGCAACAGAAGCCAGAGACAGTGGAATAATATCTTAGAATGTATCCCGCAAAACTCTCAGGAACATGGGCAAAATAAAAATGTTTTCACATAAACAAAAACTTTGGGAGATTTTACCTAAAGAATATGCTCAGGGAAAAAAAAATCCTGAAAGGAAGGTTGATATGCAAAAAGAAATGGCAAGTAAACAAGACTTTTGTAATTACTGCCTATAAAAAACAAAAATTATGTCCAATTTAAGGAGTTTGGAAAAAGAACACAACCAAAGTTCTGGACAATAACAACATGTAACTTGGGGGCAGTAGAGCATAGCTAACGTGCTGTGCTCTAAAGCTGAAAAATTAACTTCATGAGATAAATTAGGCATGTACAGCCAAACATCAAGAATAGCTATTAAATAGTAGAGACAAATCTCTAACCCAGTACAAGGC